AAGGACACTGGTAGCTACGGCAAGGACACTGGCAGCTACGGAAAGGACACTGGCAACTACAGCACCGGTGCCAGCGACTACAGTTCCCCTCATGGTAACTACGGCTCCGGCGCAGGCCGTGGTGACTATGGCTCGGGTGCTGGCTCAGGTGCTGGCAACTACGGATCCTCAAACACTGGCGGTTATGGCAGTGGTAACAAGCAGTCTGGAAGCTACGGCGGACATGACAACATCGCCTCCCCCAAGACCGGGAACTATGGCTCCCATCAGACTGGCAACTTTGGAGCCGCAACCGACAAATACGGATCCTCAAACACTGGTGGTTATGGTAGTCAGCAGTCTGGAAACTACGGCTCCGGATCGGACAAATATGGATCTTCGAACACTGGCGGCTATGGTGGTCAGCAGTCTGGAAACTACGGCTCTGGATCGGACAAATACGGATCTTCGAACACTGGCGGCTACGGTAGTCACCAGTCCGGAAACTACGGCTCCGGATCGGACAAATACACCTCTGGAACGGACAACTACCCCTCTTCCAAGACGGGTGGATATGACTCGGGTGCCGACAGCTACGGCAGCAAGTCCAACTATAGCTCTGGAGCCGGCAAATACGGATCTGAGACCGGAGGCTATGGCAACCAGACTGACAGCGCCGGCGCAGGAACTGGTGGCATAGGCCATGGTGGTGGTTCGAGTGTCACTGACACTGGCCGTCACAGCTCCAACTTGGCGAACAAGTTGGACCCGAGGTAAGTACGTATTTTCATACAATTTCAGAGATGAACTTACGGAGTTATTAACAAATTTTACAGAGTGGACTCCGACAATGAAAACCGCGCTCGTCACCAGGCCTTTGGCGGTGGCGCTCAGGGTGGTAGCAGCTACAACAACCCGAGCTCGACCGCAGGACCTCACAACTCCAACTTGACCAACAAGTTGGATCCTCGCGTTGACTCGGACTTGGACAACCGCGCTACTCTTGGAACTCAGCGCTAATGGTTGTCTGTTTGGGGGCAACATGTTACGACTAATGCGTTATTGACTTTGATTCTATGACTCGATAATATTGGGCTTTAGTATGGGTTTTGGATATGGGATTTTGTTTATTTTGTGTATCATAGCAGATTGAGTCCTTTTACAGGAACATAATTGCCATTTTCTACGAAGTTCTCAGTGATTTTTGACACACCTGTGTAGCCAGTGATCTCGACCTGGGGCTTACAACGGCCGGTTACTACAGGGGTAGTACGGAATTGAAAAGGGTGTAGTTGAGCGCTATAAATGAGTATCTCAATAGAAAGAGCAAGAGTGATCCGGTACCGTGACTTGCTCTTCAAAAATCACACATGAATTAGTAATAACAGAGAGTGACAGGAAGGCATATTGAATCATCGTACAAACACACCGAAGCTCTGGACTATGAAGCCCAGGCCAAGTCCGTGTGGCAACCCACAACTACCTCCAATTCGCACAATTTGCTGAAGTATACATAAGACCATATATGTAGTTGGACGAAGGCTTCTTCAGCGTCAAGGCGCTTTATTTCCAAGAGCTCTCGGGGCCTCACCGTGATCCACGAAGAAACCAGTTTCGAGTGTCAGTAGAGTTGAAGAGAGTGTCTCGCAAGCTAGCTCTTTGACGTAGGGTATCGGAGAATCCTTCATTATATCTGCCGCACTGTATCTCTCATAAATCCCAGAGGAATGTTGTCGATGAGGTCTGCACGTGGTCAGTATCAGATTTAGGTTCTGCATAGTAACCAGAAAAGGAAGGTTGTATTTACACTTCGAGGAGAATCCAGCTCTAGATAAGCAGCTGGACGAGAACTTAAATACCTCATCATCTTCCATTTGGAGCGACCTGAGAAAACCGCTAGCCAGGCCGCATTCGCGATATTTCTTGTCTACAAGAAGCTTTGGCCTGCACGAGTACCGTGGCAATTGGAACCTTCTCCGGGTAAAATGTAGATTGGCATGTGTGGAATCCAATCGTCGTGTAGTCCACCGTGAACTCGCTCAGAACGTCTTGAAAGTTCTACAAAGGAGAGGATTCTGAGTCAAGAAGTCGACCAAGCTCAGCAGTTGTACGACAGATTGTTGAGTAACCCATCACGCGGGCTTTCCATCCTTATAGCGACAACAAGAAAACGTGATAGCAAGGTTTCCGTCAACAGAAGTCTACAGGCTGTTCGAAGACTCGGGAAGGTACCATTCTTGAAGACTTCGTGCATTGAGTTTCATTGGCATTCCTGGTAACTTGTTAGCAATAGGAAAACGAAGATGCTGGGTCTCGCTTACCAGGGCTGTAGGATCCTGGTCCCCAAATCCCATAGTTGTCACTATTTGCAGCTTCGACCAGCATAGCGTCAGTGACTTCCGCGCAAGGAAAGGTGTCGAAGTGCACTAACATCCTGGGGAATTTCCATGGTCTTGTATTCCGATAATTTTCAATAAAAGTAGTAGGCTTCAGGATGACTTGGCAGACGTATAAGAAGCAATCGAAGCGTCGTCAGAAGGTGACTGAAAATTAGAAGGCATATTTCGCCCTTTCCTCGCCATGGCTGCAGAATATGGAAGGTGATGGCAATTGTCGCTGCTTGAAATAGCGATTGCAGATGCAATATCATCTAGGAATGGCCGAGCTATAGTCCAAGAATAGGGCGTGGAGAAGACCTGATTACTCTATCTTCGACATTCCTATGGTATAATTAGCAGTAAGGGAGTCAGTCACATTTAGGTACACCATGCACTTGCTAAATATATTCTCCTTTATCATAGATTTATTGCCATCGTTGTTGTTGCGTGCAGCGGCCTTCTTTATTCTTTCCCTTTTGGGCAAGCGCATTGTTTCCCCAGAAGACCCTCCTCTTTCGTACTTCCACTCCCGCTCAACCCAGGTTATGCTGCTGCTGCAATTCCAAGTTACACTTGAAGCTTTTCCATAGGTAAGCCAATCTCCACACCAGAAGACATGGCCTTCACTAATTGTGTTGTTCTTCCCTAGCCAGCTTCCATTCACCGTTTCCCCAGACTCCAGCGCCCCCTCTCCTTCCCTACGATCATACGACCGCCCTCTTACGACTAGAGTCAGGCATATATACGCAGATTTGCTTTGGATATACCTTCGTCGCCGTTCTATCTATTCGTTCGCATCAACACCCCGGCTAAACGCTCTCACCATGACAACAAGGCGCCCCATCAAGCCCCACCACTCCTCTCGCAGGTCTGCTTCGGCTGCTCCTATTGCAAGATTTGACCCTACGACGTCCACTCAACCGATTCCCTCTATCCTTGACCCAAGTCCGGACGCAAGGTCGTGGAGATCACAGCCAGTGTCTCGTTCGCGTATGGCGCAAGATGGAAGCCAAGATATCCCGGAGGAGGAGTTGGATGAGAGTCCGGATAGGTCTCGCAGTCGTTCTTCTTATTTCTATAGCCCCAGTGACCAGGGCACGCCACAAAGCCATACGAGCGAGTCGTCTAGGGAATCCATCTCGCGTCCGCAGAACATGAGCGACCCTATAAGCGGGCCAGATTCTCGCCTGTTCGGACCCTTACAGTATAATCCTCTAAGCTACTCCGAGGGCTACGCTTCGCAGTATTATTCGCCTTCGGCATACGGCTATTATTCAGGATATCCAGCATACCAATATCCAACATTTGCACCATATTCTGCATATTCAGTTACGCCCACAGCTACCTCGACCAATTCGTCAGCTACAGTCAAGCCTGGGTCCTTCAGTCAGGGTTATCCCATTGAGGGTGGCTATATGCCGGAATCAGCCTTCCCTGCCTATGATGGGGCTTATGGACGTCCATACAATGTGGCGCCTTATCGGCATTTGCAACTGTATCCGCGTTATCAAAATATGCATTTAGCAACGCAAACCGAGGGACACGCTGAACATATGCCCGCTCAGATAGGCGCCGCTCACGAAGATACAAAGAGGAAGCATGCTGGTTCTTCGCAAAAGTCAAAAACCTCTGCTAAGACGGACGAAGAAAAGAGGCGAGATATGAAGGAGGCAGTGCTGAAGAAAGTTGAAGAGGATGAAGCTCGCGTCGAGCCAAGCGCTCAGCAAAGCACAGTTAGCTCAGAAGAGCGATTGACGCCCCCCGAGTACTCGCGAAAGTCAATACCTGCTTCTAGGCAAAGGACGGAGGAAGAAGAGAACCGAGAACTTAGGGATGCGTTTCGAAGACGACAAGAAGACTATGACGCTTTCCCCGCATGGATGAAGCAGCAAGAAGCGGTTGCAGATAACGGCAAGCGGAAAGAGGGACTCGAAGCCTTCGTCGACGTCGTTCTTGAGAAGTCCGAGTTGAGTGGCAAGCGGGCTGCTTCCCAGGGACCGCCGGGCGAGCCGAACGAGGCTCGAGAGAAGGAACCAGGCGACATTTTGAGCTCACAGACGCCTGACAAACGCATCCGGAATGGTCAAGTGCCAATCATGAGCAGTCCTAAAGTCGAATCCACCAAGCCTGGTAAGCTATCAGTTGTATAACCCCAGAATTTAGGCTAACAAAGGCAGAAGCAGTGGATACTAGGCACAGGCCGAAGAGCATGTCTACAGCCGCCGGAAGAGCTCTGAAACCTCCCCCAGGACTTCCATACCCGCCTCCGAATGCGCTTTTACCTGAGCCCTTGTCGTCCGGAAGACCCGTTATGGCTGTTCAAGCGAGACTAAAAGAAGCAAACAACTGGTTTCACAGAGAGGACTCGCGCAAGGAAAAACCGCTTCAAGTGAAAATTGAAGGAATCGCTCGTGATTACAGTTTCTCAAAGGATTCTGAGCAGGACCGCGTTACCGCGAAGCAAACAACGCTACTATTCGGGGGTGTCATTGCAAACCTTTTTGATTATCTTCATGGGCGCGACACAGGTCTACCGGATCCAGATCCCTTTACAAAGTTCCGATATGTCAGCTCTCGCTACTGCGACAAAGCCAATACCGGACGCCGCAGTTACTTTGAAATCGACCCTCTTATCAACCGGCGTGCAGTTCAGCCACGTCGTGCAGAAAAGCCGGAAAAGAAGTTGGTTTTGATACGGCACCGCAGGCCTGAACTATAGTATTTTTTTGGTCTCGATTGGAATAGCATGGTTGGCAGTTGTTTATTCTTCTCTCCTTTTTACCATGGCATGGCATAGATACCCTCTTGTTTATTCTGCTTTTAACTTTTTGCTGAGCATGACTTCTTGCGATGACTTTGGGGATTGTTTTATTTTGTATCATAGGCCTATCCTTATAAATAGAAAGATGATATCATATTTCCGCTTAGGGCTGGAAGCAATACTATGTAGTCTTCTGAGTCTCCAAACCGGACCCTATCCCAGATTCCCCATAGGGGGCTCCAAATCAGGATCATGCAATTAAACCTACGAACGCCTAAGGTTCTCGATCAACCTCTCACTTGGCCGCTGTCACCTTGTCTGTCCTGGTCTGACCCTGCCAGGTCCATCTTCCGTACTTCGGACATGTCTGGATCTATTTCTTTACACTAAGCGGGATAGTGGATCTACAATTGTCCAGGGCGCTTGTGGAGATCCAGAATCCCCGCCCAATGATAGAAATCACTCCACTGTAGATCTGGAGTCATACAAAGAACTCTTGTACTTTGGAGTACCCCGAGTAATATGCTATGTACTAGCTGTATCTCCCAACAAAGAGTATTGGTGTATTAGCAGAAAATCTTTTGGCGTGTTCGAATCAACACCCGTATCAACAAACTCGTCCACCTCCTCCACAGTTGTCATACACGCCTTCAGCCCCGCAGTGTCCATGACTCCATCCTCGCCTCCTTCAATACGCCCCAGCTCTGCTTCGGTCACTTTCTGGCGCTCGTTGCAATATTGCACCAGCTTGCGGGTCTTCTTTAAGTTGACTTCCTTCTCGAAGTGCGACATGTCAACCATGATACTATCAAAGGGCAGATCAGCTGCCTGTTTGATGATAGTTTCCAACTGTGCATGGTCGAGGTGGGTACTGATGGGCACACTTGCGCGTTGAGCGGTGTCCGCGGCCGTCCGCACCAGCAAGCCATCAGTGACTTCAATTGCCCAGGGGAAGAATTGGATAATGAGGGGGGAGTGAGCGGTTTCGGCGGCCCGGACGAGACCCAGGACCTGTTCAATGTTGTAGGCGATGGCAGCAATGACGCCATACCGGCCGGCTTTGGCGTCACGTAGAATGCATTTATGGCGGTTCGCGTCTTCCCAGGACATTCTGGGGATTGAAGGAAATCACTAGATGGAAGCGTAGAAAAAGACAATGTCGTAATCATTGTGGCTTGAGTGGCTGGTCAACCTATTTAAGAGTGGTGAGTTACAATGGAGATGGTATGGTTAGGGACGATCGGAGATGTCCCTGAGACGAGCACTGAGGCTGCCCCACTAGCGTCTTCTCTACGAGATCCCAATTGTCCCCCTTCAGCCATTGGCACCTTTCAAAGTTGTGTTGGTCTCTGTTTTTCTCCTCATTATTTACAAGCTCCTTGATTCTGCTGTCGCCGTATAACAGACCTTATACCAGTTTCTTGTTTGTTCCTCCCCTCTGGAGCAACATCAACCACAAAACTACAAATCAGTACATCATGGGATGTCCAAAACCACCAACACATCCTTCCAAGCCCATGATGAGCAATTCAGCGCAATCATCGGCCCAGATCCATCGCTGGAACTATTAGCAGAAAGCCATGACTACACTTTCACCCATGAGGCCAGTGTATACAACCCTACTACAAACAACCTCTTCATCACCAGCAACTGATGCACCGGCCTGAATGGACAGCAAAAAGTATGCACCACCCATGTTGATCTGAGTCAGAACCCAGAAGTCACCTGCAAGGAAATTCCCACCAAAATCCCCATGGCCAACAGAGGTATTAACTATGGCAAGCACCACATGCTCTTTTGCACACAAGGGTCTATGACTGAACTGATCGGATTATACCGCATGTCTATGACAGCTCCATATGAATTGGAACTTGTGAAACAGGACTTTTTTGGCCGGCCATTTAATTCTGTCAATGACGTGGTAGTGTATACGGATGGCTCAGTCTGGTTCACGGATCCTATTTACGGCTATGAGCAGGGATATCGGCCGACGCCGTGCTTACCCAATCAGGTATACTGGTGGTGTCCAAATAATGGATGCATTCGGGCTATGGCAGATGGATTTGGCCGGCTAAATGGTATCTGTTTTTCGCCCGATGAGAAGGTTGTATATATCACGGATACTGACCGGGTTCATGGCGACGGGACGATTGATAATCAGCGAGTATCTTCAATGTACATGCCTTTGCCATCATGCTATATTTTTGTATTTGGTCGGCATTGCTAATGGTGAGATTCTTTCTAGTTACGCCTTTGATTTATCTATATCTCATGGAGAGCTGTGTCTCACAAATTGTCGGGTCTTTGCTATGGCAGACCAGGGGATCCCAGATGGAATCAAGTGCGATCTCAGTGAAAATATCTATAGTGGCTGTGGGGATAGGATAAATACCTGGTCCTCAGGGGGCACTCTCTTGGGTTGTATTTTAATTGGTGGTGAAGTCGCAAACTTCTGTTTTGGGAGAAATGGGGAAATTTTTGCCCTCAATGAGCACCGACTGTGGAGAGTTCAACTAGGAACAAGAGTAAAGGGAGCATTGCTTGGAATATAAACCTGTCAGGCAACAAAAAAGGCATTTTTTGCACAAAGATACCAAATTGGTAGGAAAATACTACATGGACACTCTTTTGGCTGCTGTGACTTTGGCAGGCTCAATGCTTTCCCAAAGCTGCTGTGACGGCTCAACAACCAGGCAAACAGTGCCAACATGCCAAAAGATGCCATACAAGCAATATGGACAAACAAGGGCTCAAGCCGCATCGCACAAAGGCTTATATAGAGACTGCACTCGCCAGATAGATTTCCTCTCCTTTTTCCTTCCCAGATTCGATATTCTCGTTGATGGCTACAATAGTCAAGATAGGAATTCAGTTCGTTATTATCTTCTATTCCGAGCCCGTGACAGCTGCTGTAACTCAACTCCCAAAGATTTAACTGGCCAGCTGGTTTGCTCTCGGCAGGACTCTAACAGTTCCAAGATAGCTTCTCGGGCATGATTCCCTTGCGTAAAGGTTCCCGCTATGCCTTAATTAGCCCACCTTGTCTAGATAGATCACAACATATCACGCACCAATAAATAAAGCCTGTGATGACATCAAACTAGAAGCGGCATCTTTCAAAGTTCTTGCAATACCACAGATATTCTCCACACATTGCCTTATTATCTGTCGCTTGAGGTACTGGTCAAGCCCTTCCATGCTGGGCTCGTGGGCAAGTAAAAGCATGTGTGAGACACTGAAAAATTGAATCACCACAGCTACAAAGTTATGTCAGTTTATGGAGGTGTAGGGCCGATGGCTGATACTGTCACGGGCTCGGAATAGAAGATAATAACGAACTGAATTCCTATCTTGACTATTGTAGCCATCAACGAGAATATCGAATCTGAGAAGGAAAAAGGAGAGGAAATCTATCTGGCGAGTGCAGTCTCTATATAAGCCTTTGTGCGATGCGGCTTGAGCCCTTGTTTGTCCATATTGCTTGTATGGCATCTTTTGGCATGTTGGCACTGTTTGCCTGGTCGTTGAGCCGTCACAGATACATACCAAATGCAGGAGGGCGGATCCAGTTCAGTCAAAAACAAGATGATTGTTCACGCTGACTGAGCAGCAATGGGGAAAACTCGACAGTCAGGTGTTGTTGCCAGTCATCCAGCATGGTGTGAAGACAACTTGTGTGACGGCCTGGTCACATTGGCTGGCTGTCACGTGAGTTGCAGTTGTTTGCTTTATTGATAACTACAGCGTTACCTCCTTTCTTCCTTCCTCATGTCAATTATTCTCGTCGATAGCTACCTAGGTAGAACACATGAGTTGATGTTCCATTAACCTGGCTGAGCTCCGTGACAACTTGCCTCATGAATCTGAGGCTGGATGTTTTCTTCAGTCATGGCTTCAGCACAGTAGCTAAGTACCTTTGTGGTAATGTAGATTGCGCGCGTAGCGAGTTCATGTGGTGATAGTGCAGAAAGTGGTTTCTGTGGTATCCAGAATGTAAAAGTCTTGTGTTTTTCTCAAAAAGCGGCCCAAATGTCCTGGCAGAGCCATACCCACCACACAGCTGAATGCAGTCCACTGGATTCTCCATGGATGGTCTGGGACCTCTGAATTAGGAATACTCCTTCAAGGTGCCATTCCCAGTCGTTGGTGGAATTGTCAAGCATTTCATAGGCAGAAATAATCAGTGTCATTGTGAGGAGCTCCAGACTTGTCTGGTAGCTAGGGTATTGCATGGCTCTTTGCACATAGTAAAGAGTCTGATGATAATATTGAAGAGCTTCTTCCTCCTTATTTGGAATATTGTTTTCATCTAGCCAAGTATTCAATGCAAGATGCTGGGATGCAAGAGCAAGTATAGCATTCATAAGCCCAGCATTGTGTATCTAGGAACGTCAAATCAATCTTTAACAAAAAAAAAAAAAAAAAAAAAAAAAAGAGAGAGAGAGAGAGAGACCAATAAGCACATATCAACTTACCGCTAGATGCGCAACAAATGTAGAGAACTGGCTTGTGGGGTCAAAAAGATCGATCTGCGAGAAGGGATTAATTTTGGATGTGGATACCAAAGTGGTATCCGTGGATGAGGATATGTCGCAGTCTAGTTACCATCTCCAGGTTTCTTATGTTATATTGAAAGCGGGGACAGATAGGGAGCGATGGTTGGCTTGAACTCTTTTGTCTCCGGGGAGATGGTGTGACATATTTCGGCCTCAGCTAACTGTCACAAACTTGGCTTTCCTCGTATTGTACCTAGGGTTCTAGCTATACTTAGGTTCCACCAAAGTGCAATCCCAAGCTGGAATGGTGTCTCATGAAAAAAAGAAGAAAAAAACCGTATATTAACCAATGGCCAGCTGATCATAACAACGCATTGCTGAGTATATCGCCCCTCCCCCAACTAGGTTCCGGTAGACAAGTGTCTTCGATGGAGGTAATGAATAGAGAAACAAGACAAGTCTGAACTGAAAATATAACCAATACTTGATTGAACGTATTGATCGTGAAGGGCTATCGTGTGGGAGTAGGAACTGAACGATGTACATACAATTGACAAATGGGGAATGCAGGTATATTTTTGAATATTGTGCGTACACTGGCAGGTGCTTCTCTATATAGCCTGTGCATACACGCTGACTTCCGGTGGCTCCCTGGCCTCGGTCCGACCATCGATGGCTGGACCCTGATTAACCCCCCACAGTCCCAACCGCCTCAGGGCTCTATTCCTTCTCCGCATCTACCATGCACCTATCTAACTTAGCTCACGCTAGTAGACCTCAGTAATCTCCCTAAGTATTTCATCAATATTATCCATAGTTAATATCCGTGCCTGGATATCCTTTTTGCTCGCTAATTCAGCTATCCGAGGGCAGTGTCCTCGCAAGCTCTTTGATAGCTCTGTATCAGACAATGCACCCATCCCCTCGGGTAACCCATATTGTAGGAGCCAGATTTTTTTGTCTAGATAAGGTTAGACACCAGTTCTGCGCTATGTAGTTACAGCGGAAGCCTTACCACTCCACCCTGTACCGTTGGTCACAGGGCAAATACCCCCCCGACTTTCCATGATGTCGATATCAACAGTGGTCAGAATAAATTCTCGATTGTCGCGTTTTTCAACTTCCCCGACATGGTCTCCATTCCACACAGCTTGATTCCTGGGGATGTGAAAGAGGGAGGCAGCTTTTTCCATGATATCAAGCGTATCAAAGAGGACGATAAGTCGCCACATGGGCAGCTGTCTTCATTGTGGGATATTATCATCGATCGGCATCAACTGGTACTACCACCAGCAGTCGCTGCCAATTGAATAATGATGCACGAATCTTGAAATATGGTCTTGAGTTATGAGAATATGTTTACCAAGTGTCACAGCGCGATAAGTAGTAGATAAAATGAATTGCATAGTTCAGGCCAATATTGTGCTGAATATTTCAGAAAACTTTGAAGATTAGAGCACTTTTGAACTTCACTGTCTTCTAAGTCATCCATCAACAAAATTGCATACAGATCTTAGCCAAGAGGCTCTCAGTATCTTTTGGATGCAAGATTATGCAGAATTCAGATGATCAGCGACTTTCTTTCTGATGAGAAATTCTCGCTGTCTGATGGATGAGGTATATCTTTGAGCTATTGGTGAAGACAAACAGACCACATAGCCGCCGTATTTTCTCGTCTAAGGCAGCTGGATTTATTCAGCTTGTGCTGTAGTTCGTGATTCGGGGTGGATAGCAATGCCCAATGCCATAGCCTGTGTTGTTAAGGGACGCTGTGCTGCAACAATGATCTGAATAAATTTTCTCACTGTATGCACTTGTTCAGATGATACTCGATCAAGAATCTTTTCATATACTGCATTCAAAGAAGGAGGTATCTGCTGGATTGGTTCCTCAGCTGGCGGAAAGCTATTCTTTAGAGTAACCTAGGTGTCATCAATGGTGAGATGTAACCAAGGATACGTGCAGTGTTTCCATTTAAGTTGTTGCTCAAGTCGCTGCTACACATCAGGTGGCAATAATTCCATTTAGCCAGCTCTTGCACCCTGATCCTCACGATCACACTTATCTCTTTGTGTATCTGATCATTTTCTTCCTCCCCTTTGAGGTGTATATAAGGGAAGAGATTTGTCATTATCTAGAAGTCATCCTGAATATGATCAAAGGGGCGACTGGTTACTAGAAATTTCAACCAGTTATCTATTACAGACTCGGAAATAGTAGATACTGATGAAATGATATCCCTATCTAAACTATTGTAGCCATCGACGAGAATATCGAGTCCGGAAAAAGAAAAGAAATGGAAACCTATTTAGAGGATGAAGGGGTTTTTATGACCACGGTACGACAGCAATCTACTCATGTCGGTGGCGTCTGTCATTATTAGTCCTATATGTGGTGTTGGGCCGTATGGGCAGCGTCAATCCGTATACACGACGTCAAGGTGTCAAGCCATCACAGCGTGCAAGACATGTTTACAATGGGGTCTAGCCAAGGCAGATCTTAAGGTGGATAACAATAACAAACAAACGATCTTGGAAAGAAGTCAAGCAACAGTACCAGAAATTGATGGTTTTTCAACAATGCTTCGAAATGAGAAGACTGGAATGGCATAGAGGACAGAACAGAAACAACTATCAACCACAAAAGCTCAGCCTTGTGCTGGACACGAAGCGCAGCAATGCGGCAACAAAATACGAACTGCTATCGGCGCGAGCCGCCTAGGCCCATGTCCCTACCAAGGGAAAGAATGTCAGTATCTTAGTCCTAGCTCGCATTCATCTCTGGTCTAATGTATTTCTTAATGGACGTTACTTCAGATAGATTGCTAAACAATGCTATCTTCTCTCAAGTATCAGTTCCTGATATAGTTTATTTGATAAACAATGGAGCATGCCATAGTGATCTTTAGTATACTGTGCATATTATTTATTTAATCAAGTTTATTGTCCATACCCAGCCCTAGAGCTATGACAGACCATGATTAATGGACTCGAGGCTAGCTGCTATACTACAGTCTCTCGTCCCTATTAGTTTCTGAGGCACTCGCCCCCTTCTATAATCTTTCTGATCCTTTTCCTCGCCCCAACCGCCTGTATGCGCAGGGTTTCTGAGCACAGTGCTCTCGTGTTTTAAAGCAGGATGGGTGTGGCCTAGGCTGACACTCAGATTAGGCTACCCTCCCTGCTACCCTTCTCCTGTTCTATTTGCCTCCTCTAATGCTTCCATTCCCCTATAATGTGCATAAGTTTCCAGATAGAAAGAGCAAATTGTGGCTATGTGCATATGCCAAGTGACTCGGTGTTTGAAGTGGAAGCATGATAGCCAATCACCGGTGCCTGCATAGCATATAGTGAACCATGAAGTTTTCAAAGGATTGAAATTGCGAGGTACTGCGTGATGTTGGGTGATAGCTCACGCTATCTATTATGCACACACCTAAATCACCCTCGGTCACGCGACCAAAAGCGGCCTCACCCTCTAACTTATCTTTCTAGCGAAATTTTTGACTCTATTCATCTTTTCTGAAACAGATAAACCAATGAAGAGGTTAGAGTCCGTGTCGGGGAAGTTGGGGAGTCGATTATCCGGACTGTACGAGGCTATAGGCGAGGAATTTGAATTACACTAAAGTGTGACATTGATATCTATAGACACCATAAATGATAGAATAAGCGCTTGTCTATCTGAATGTGTGTATACGCTGGTCAATATAATCAGACCGGCGGAGCTTGCCTAATCGGTCCGACGTTTATTTTTTTTTTTTTTTTTCACGGTAGATCCGGGGTGGTGTCGGTATAGCAAATCCCTAATTTAATATTGCCATTAAGCATTTGATTTCCCATATTTGGTCATATATATCAATACCCATCTTACTCGATCTCCACAAACTCTCCATCCAACTCCCCCCCCTCAAACCACGCCATCGCTGTCTCCGCAAACAACCCCGGTGCCTGTCGATTCCATGGATGTCTCATCCCCCAATGCACAACCGCAATGGTATCCTGATTCCCCTCCCTCCCAATCTCCGCCAGCCTCTTCGCATACTCGCAGCTATCAGCAGAGGGAATGATACCCTTCGCGGCCGCGACAATCAATGTCCTCATCTTCCAGGGACCCGGCCACTCAGTACCCGTCAATGACGAAGTGATCTCCCGACACAACTTCACTGTACAGATATCCATGTTAAGATGCGGGAGGTCCGCGCCGTCCATTAACCAATTTAGCAGTGACCGGGGGAGAAGGTTCTCAATCCGCAAGACCGGCCAGGCGATGTACGGGATATACGGCGCCAGCACTGATGGTGGGAAAATAGCGAAACCGGAGATGAAGATATCTTTCACGAGATCAGGATATGTGGTTGCGAGTTTGATGGCAGCGTGTGCGCCGAGACTGTGACCGATTATATGCGCTGATTTGGTGATAGTGTGCGTGCGGATTAGGTTGGCGATATGCTCTATGGAGGAGTCGATGGAGAAGGGGGTTATATGGGTGGATTTGCCGTGACTGGGGAGGTCTGGGACGAGGATGTGGTAGTGTTTTGAGAGATGGGGAGTGACGAGGTCCCAGTAGGAGCCGGAGCAGAAGGCGCCGTGGATGAGGAGGATGGTGGTTGGGTTGGCTGGGTTGTGGGATTGGAAGTGTAGTTGGCTTGGTTGGAACATTGTAGTTGTTTAATATTCTGCTTCTTTCTCGAAAAGTGAGAAGAGTTGTAATTATAGAGAAAATTAAATTGCGCGTTCTGTCTGCCTGTGATATGATTATAAAATGTTGTTGAGACATTGTGGCTGCTTACGAAGGATCTAGTCTCGCAGGATCTTCAAGAACTTGTGGAAGACTACTTATGTGAGTGCTTGCTATCACTCGGAGGCTTTGACAGGGTATGCGGAATTCTATTGGGAAAGAGTGAGACCCCATTCAATTTCTCCTGAAGAGTCACCGCTGATTTCACGGAATTGCATTGAAGTTAAACTGCGAACCCGGTTTATGCCCCAGAATCCTCTCAGCCAAATGACTCTCGAGGCGCATGATATGCTAAAGTTTAATTCAAGGCTTGCCATTGTCGATATGACACTTCAACCCCTGACAGCGCGGACTGGATTATCTAATTCGAGCATGCAGGGGTTGGTTCCTGCTGCTACGATGTCAAGGGATACATGGGATCAACGAAGAAAGGAAAATGCCGACCATTTGGAGGCGGTCTTGAAATGGCTAAAGGATACTAAAGGGGTGAAGCAAATCATCAAGCTGGTTGTCCGAGATGACAAGGACGGGCCCTGCAGCGATGAGGTCATTGAGAGATGTCTAAAGATCTATGATATCCGGTACCTGGACTGGCAGAAGGAGGATATCTGCGTCCAAACCTTGCTGGAAGGTCAAGCCAAAAACCTTGTGGAGGTATCTTTATACTCAAGCGGTAAAGACAGCACTCTCTGGAGCTGGTCCAGCAATGATGGCCTTCACCGGCTTGAAAAAGTAAGACGCCTGCCCTCTCTCAATCACGGTAAAGCACTAATGCACTCCCAGCTGAAAAAGGTTATATTAAACATAAACCCAGTAAGTCCAGCCGGAGGAACAGAACCAATTCTCATCACTGACTGTTCACAGGATGGAATTGAGACCGTCGAGCGGACAAAGCGTAATGCTGAGCATTTTAAAAAACGAGTTGAAGAGATACCAGAGCGTCAAATCCAGGTCAATTACCACATCGATCCACCTCGTGGCTTGGAAGATCCGTCTTCGGATAAAGACCAGAAGATTGAGGAGTAAGTGTTCAGTGCCTGGTGCGATCAATCCACTTGCTAATAGGAAGTAAGTTGCCATCCATGGCTCGGGGTCATCAAAGAAATCAGACACGGTGTGAATATTGCGCGATTGGAGGAAGCCTTCAATTGTAATCCTGATATCAGAGTTGCCTTGATTGACGACGGTGTTTGTCCTGAGCATGAATTACTTTTTGAAAGCTTTGAAGAGGGATGGCCGGCCGATGTACCCCAAAATTCTATAAAAAAAAACCCTTCTATACGTCCGACAGTGGACATGGGACCGCCATGGCGACATATATTCAATTCGTGTGCCCCGGAGTCAGGCTCTATGTTGCGAAGCTCGACCCCGAATCTCAAGAAACACGAGCCGCATCGGCTGCTGAGGTATGTTGTCTGTTCCTCTTCCCAAACCAGTCAAATAGTGTATCACTCATTCTAAAACTCTTTAGGCCGTAAAATGGGCTATTAAGCGCAAGGTTCATGTGATCTCCATGAGTTGGACAGTCGAAATCACCAAAAAGAATGAAAAGCAAATTAAGGCGTTTGAAGCCCAGATTCGAGAGGCGGCCAGTAGGAATATAATCATGTTCTGTTCTGGTCGTGATGAAGCATGGAATGAGAGCAGTAAAAGCTCTTACCCAGCTGGTAGTGACACCAAGAAGGTCTACCGAGTTGGATCATCAGACCTATACGACAACATGTTCACATGGGTGAACGCGGGCAATATTGACTATCTCCTGCCTGGTGAGGCTCTCTTCCCTGGAGATAAGCTCCGTGGAGATAGGATTGAAGAATCTGGGTGTTGTGACGAGATTCCTGAAGATGAAAAATCATACCAGGCCCTATAGTGAGTGAATCATGGGATCATTAGGATTATTGCTTAAGAGGTTTAGTTGTGGGTGCAGCATCGGGTTTAGTTTGTCAAAATAGTTCTTATACATGATTCTTATACATGGATTCTTGATCATCTACATCCGTCTATTCAGGCACTTTGAACTGGTTCAGCATAAACAGTAATGAATGAAAAGAGAATCCCAGTCTATGTACAGCCCTAACAAGCCCAGAAACACGAATACAATATGAAATAGCAAGTAATCCTCATGAGTAATCTGCCATTAACCCATCCATCCATCATTACTACCATCCTACGCCAGACATCCCTAATCCCATCTGAGTAATAAAAAGAAAGAGGAAGAATTACACAAAGGAAAAAGAGAAAAAGACATTATCATAACCCAGAACGCCGTGCAAATGGTATGTACGGATCATCAAATAAAGAAATGAAAAGCAGAATGATACCTCATCTAACAATTGACAAGGTTGATGTGATTATCATTAAGCGCTGCGCAGGCGAGTATGGTACGGTGCGGGTGGAAAGCGGTGTTGGCGATAGGAGAAGACCGGTTGTGGTGGAGGAAGCTCGTGTAGGGCTCGTAAGTGGACAGATGACTGCCACCCACGTTGAACGTCCTGACTTCATGACGGTTGGTGCCCCTGTAGCCAATTTTGTTAACCATCTGTACAACCAAAAGTAAATACCATGGGAAACTTACACGCTGAACACCGGGGCGTGCTCATGAACACTCAGAGTACGAAGGGTGTCTGAAGTAGCATATGTTGTCGAAATCGGATCGTCCATTCGAAGATCCCAGAGCCTGATTTCTCCGTTTCGGCTACCAGAAACCAGCTCTCTCAAACCGCCTCGTTGCATGTGGACATTTGTAATCCACTGCTTGTGTTCACGCCAGACCTTGACCATGGACGTTGTTGGCTTCAGACGTTGATCGAAGACCCGGACAGCACCATCACCAAATCCGGCTACGAAGATATTACCGGCAACTTGGTCAGATGTCAAGGATGTAATGCATGACCCAGACCGTGCAGGGATGTCCTGTAAAGAGTTAGATGGCTTGTCTTATCGGTAAGGTCGGTGCGGTACATACGTTGCTGCAGACTTCGGTGGCTGCGTTCCACACTCTGATAACCTTGACATCACCTGCAACAAGCGCCTTTCCTTGTCCTTGCTGCCAGTCAAGAACAAGTCCCGCATTTCTAGTACTGGGGAGAAGCTCTGGAAGAGCCCTGAAAGCAGTGACAATTTCGGCATCCTTGGCAGACTCATAGTTTCTGAAAACCTTGAGAACACCATCGGAAGAGCCCGTCATTAAGAGCGCCTGGTCGTCTTCGTTGATGTACCGGACTTCATTGATCTTCGAGCCCGGCGGGTTTCCGTTCGAAAATCGATTGAGACGCTTATGGCTTTGCCAATCCCAAATTCTAAACGATTGTTAGCTCAAAGCCAAAACGGTTTTCAGTGCCGTTTCAACTTACGCAATGGTATCCCGATCGTCAGCAACCGCGAGATGATCTTCGAACTGGTGGAAACACATCTTCATCGGCTGACTGCTATTCGACAGAAGGGTCAACGAATTATCCCATCGACTGCTGCCAGCCTTGGGTTTAAGGGGTTGGGTCTCTGTGATGATCTTTTCGTTGCGACTCCGTCGCCATAAACGCTCGTTATAATCTGCACTACCCGGCTCGTCGGGCTCATTGGGCTTCATCTGGGGTTCCCGGAAGTACTCCGTAGACCAATCCAAGAATCTACTCAACAGAGGAATCGTTGGGAGCACAGAAGTATCCCTCTGCTCAAATCCACGAGATGTGGGAGTGGGCGCTTTGTGGTATGCAGTCGCCGGAGCGACATGGTCGTTGACCTCTGGGGGTCGGGTCCATTCTGGAGGAGCGCGCCCACGGGGGGTAATGGGCATGCGGTTCGACATCGAAGGCGATGTTGGGGGTTGAGAAGCCAGCTCCGAGCCAGACGCACCACCGAAGGCAAGATTTTTCAGTGACGCAGCGACACTCGCTGTCCGCCTCATGCCCAGTGAGAGATACCCTTCCTGTTTTGGTTGTGCTTGCGAGGGGGGCGTGGGAGGGGGTGCGACCTTCTTCGATTCGGGTCTTTCACGGATGGGTAGCCTCTGTGGCTCACGGGATGTGATATCCATGATCTCTCTGCGGACCCTATCCGTTACTGATGCCATAGGAGATTGGAGTAGCATGACATGGATGTAGTCCACGATCGTGCTAGCATCCTGTGCAATATCAGGATGTGGGTCGACGGAAAGAATGAGAAGCTGCTTCCAAATTGTGCCGAACGTAGTATTCCGGGATAGAGAATGGAATTTAGCGCTTGAGTCTGCAGACCCGTTCTGCGCATCATCGAAGGGGAAATCCTGGGGCGTTTCGTTCGCGAGCTTGTCGAGAAGCGATTGCTTCTCCTCTTGGAGTTCCTCATATGCAGCGACAATGAACTTGTTCTGATACCGTTTGGCAAAAGTCGAAAAGTAGACAAGCAGTTCCTTCCGCACAAGGACACTACCATCCGACGCCATCGGCAGCACTGTCATAGCCAACGACTCCTCAATCTGCGCCACCTGGTCCGTCAAGTCCGGAATGCCCAAAAATGTTGTCAGTGCGTGCAACATAGCAGCCCGCACCTCTGGCACAGGGTCCATGTTCAATTCGCAAAGTCTGGCCGGGGCCGCGCAACGAATGCCAGCCCATTTGGCCTCGGGGAAGTCACACCAGAGCATGCTCAGGCAAAGACACGACCATTGACGCAAAAGAGGATTCTCGACGTCTGTTAAATGCCTCAAGCATGAATCGAAAAGCTCTGCTGATAGGCAAACGTTCTGGCCCTGAGGGTAATTTTTACAGAAGATCGAGACAATGAAGGCACACATAGCGCGATGTTCACTAGCGTTGCCCACAGGAATCGGAGACGAGGGGTTAAGGATGTTGATGAAGTAGTGGATGCCATTGTCCTTTAGTAGATCATTCTGGACAGTATGGTCGACTGCCATGATTCGGGCCCAGATGAACACCATAACTGGTTTTAACTCCTGAGCGGCCGACTGCAGCAACTTGACGACATATGGGAAGATACCAATGCTCAGAGCAAGATGGACGGCCCAGGGCCCCAAATCAAGGAATTTGCTGAGTAGAATCAACGCTCGCAGCCGATGCGCCTGACTCAGGAGGACCTGCAGAACAATTGGCAGCTGGTCTGGTGGGCTCTTTTCAGTGGGTCCAGAGGATAGGTAAACCTCAAACGCTGTGAGTTGCTCAGCAAAGAAAGAAGAATGCTGGTACTCGTAATGCCGCCGGCCCTCTTCATGTTCAATGAGCGCAGGGAGCTGTGCCAGAACCATCTCCACCGCCAGATCCCAGCTCTTCCACAGCGGGTGGTGGTGGGTCTCTGGCAGCTCTGGGGAAGAGATCGGATGACACTTATACGTGCGCATAATGCGCTCACTGAGCAAGAAGTTCCGGAAAAGAGCAGCAACCATCAGGTCCTGTCGGAAAAGTTTCTTGAACAGGGGTCGCGATAAGGTATTCCATGCAATTGTGTCCGTAATGGCAGTGAAGATCCAATTCAATTCTCCAAGTGGGCTGCGCCGATCTTGCAAACGACCAGGGATTGCGAACTCATCAATGGAGATGTTTGTCTCCAGTGGGTTCTGAAGGATGAAGTACCGGAGAGCAATCTCGATGGGTGTGGTCAAACAGCTGGTGAACAGGTCGGCCGGTAGGTCTGGGTCCGTCGGAAGAGACTCGTTTTTCTGGCATGCGGCCAGAAGAATGCAATCCCCATAGTTCTGGATGAGAGCGCTAGGGTCCCGTTTCTTTGCTTCAATATTTTCCTTCTCGTGCTTGTCGACAAATGCGTGGAAGTTATGGACGATGTTGCCCGCGCGCGAGACGTCGAAAACGAAGAGACTGGGACCTGCGAGCCAGGACTGCAAGTCGTACAATGAGACCGGGATATATTGGGTGTAGTTCTTGTTGAAAACCCAAATCTCGCCCGACTGAGTCGGCAGCGGGACTCCATGACCATTGTAATGGAAGAGCACTCTCTCATCTTTGGCATTACGGCGAAGGTGTATGCAGAATTTCTTTGTCTCGTCTACGGACGGGTCGAGGTACTGCTTGTACCTCGTTCTCAAACTCAGAGTTTCATACTGCTCCTGCAACTTCTTCCCAATCTGCTCCATGATCTTGTTTTGCCCACCGCCAGTAGTTGCGGCTGGGTTAGGATCGACCCAGCACTCGAGCTTTGCGGTTGGGTTTGTCTTGACGACATCGGGAGGATCAACACCGATGTTTAAGCATATGGCGAGCGCGGCGGAAACCGTTTTCAGGCGATCTTTCATACGCCAGTCCTGACTTGGCCAACTTCCAACAGGGTCTCTTGGGATACCGTTCGTTTCGTGACGCTTCTCCGTGAAATACATGTAAAAGTTCTGGTTAAACCGCGTGGGTTAGCAATCAACGGTATACTATAATGTAGCAGCACTCAACAGCTAGAAAATTCTGCTTACCGAGTGAAGGACCTTGAGGTATTCACTCGAGGTGTATTCCTCCTGCCAACCATGTCTCATGGCAAAATCATCCTCATCGTCATCCCCAAAAAGGGACTTGTCGAATTCCACTCGTGGTCCATAATCACTCCTGGCCCGTTTCAGGGCCGCAGTCGGTCGTCCACTATCCGATGCAACATCCGATGCTAACCGAGGTCGCTCCTCCGTCACCAACGCTACACTGTCACCGCCCGAGCTGGTCGGTCGCCCGGATGACGACGAAGCCACAGGAGGCTTCTGGTCGAATGTGGTAAAAGACCGATGGTGATTTGGTGCGGGGGACTTGTCGCGAGGAGGGATGTGCGTCTCGACGTCGGGGCCAAAAGCGACTCGAACCGTCTTGTTGGGGTTCCTGCGCAGTTCCGCCTGCACGTTGGGCGACTGCCGTTTCAACATGGTATTGTTCTGGTTGTCCATATCGATAGTTGGATCTTTCATGACGGGCAGATAATCATTGTGGGGGGAAGAGACTAGAGGGTTTCGAGACCGTCGAAAAATGAGTGAACGAATTTACCAAATCTGAACACAGTAGATTAGCGAAACGAACATTGAGAAATGAAGTGATAAGTTGCATACTCACCTGATCGACACTATCGCCTCTCAAGCATGTCAGCTTATCGAGCGCGCACTGAGAGGCACCAGATTGACAAGCCTAAACCGGAGCGGCTCAGCGACTGAAGACGGTTGCGCAGTGGGTGCCACTGCCAAGGACCAGTCAGATTCCAAAGCGCAAACCCGGCAATGACAGGACTTCCAACGGCTTCAAGCAATCAACGGGCCTCGTCCAAAATCGCGCAGCTTAAGAAAGAGGCTGCAAATGGAAGAGAAATGGTACTTAATGGTTTGGTCGTTGCGAAGACGTTCTCCATGGAGCTTTGGCCGCGATGTCTTGGCACGGTCACGGGAACAGTTTGGGTGATTACGTCAGATCATCTACAACAACCCAAGATGTATACGGTCAGTTTGGAGAAGGGTATTTTGACTATTTTCCGAACTCCCTGCTATGCCATACATCCCAAATGATATCCCTATACTGATAAATACGCACTTCAGCTGGTGTTTGACAAATTGCCATATTCTCCCCTAGTTAGAGGAGCGGCGGTCAAATTGGGAGTTTGTAACATACAATGGTCTGTCCAAATTTCCAGATTCCGCAATCCTATCTCGCTCTGCTTCCGATTCCCTGACCATGTCGTTCTCCAATAGTTTTGCAAGAATCGCAGATCCAAGGCTCTCAAAATCTTTTGCTAGTTAAAGAACTGGCCCCCGTTTCATGTCAGTGAGGTTCTTTGATATGATATCGGCAATAATGTCTCGAAGACCTGAATCATGCGGAGGTACTGAGCTCATTACTTCTCGTGCTATATCGAGAAATACTGTAAATTGCCAATTAGCGCTCATATTGTGAGCAAATTCCTTCACAGCGTAGGACTTTAAAGGGACAATGCCAAATTTGTCTGCAGCTATGTAGACTCGCACGTGGTTCCTTGCGATGGCTCCAACGTCTGCTGGATATTTTTTAGAGCTCTTCAGGGGAGAGTTGCTTATAGCGGTTCCTGATAACGGCAATATGTGCCCGTTCTCTTGGTACTCGTGCAGACATAGGTAGGAAATGATTCGTTCGATTGTCTCGGGATCATCATCAGGTAAGTTAATGGTCTTCTACTGTGATTCCTTTGAGACCACATTATTTACTGATATCAAATGCGATTATTACAGTCTCACCTTAAAACTCCCGTTAAAAGCACCTCTAAAGAAGTCCGACAGAATGGTGATAATGGCACTATGAACGTGAAAAGTTTGCCCTTGGCAGGTTATTGTCGTGTCCGAGTTGTACCCCTGCAAGAAAATTTTCATCATTTCCTTGCGCGATGGCTGTGACGACATAGTGGAAGCCATATTGTTGCTCCTGAGAAACTGTAAAGAAAGCTAAAGTACTTAGAAGTGAGATGCAAGAAATGTGCATAATCGAATTTATTACCATCTCAGGGCTTACCGCCGTCATACTTAGTCGCTCTCGCCCCATATTACTATGCTATCGCTGACGGCATTACACAATCTCCTCTAACATAGACTCCAAGAATTCCTTCTGCTCTATCAGGAACCTCCTTGTATCATCAACGTCGAACGAACGTTTAGCCTCACCCCCTTTCCGTTCCTTCTTCATCTTAGCACGAATACGCTCTTCAAGGACTTCCAATCGGTACATAGTATACTGGCTATAAAGCTCTGAAAGATCGCTGGTTTCGCAGACAGCAGTCACGATGATCTCGTCCTTGACAAATGGTGACTTTGGTCGAAAGGCGGTTACCATGTTGATGCGTTCACAATCTCCGAGGGCTTTCAAGGCTTGGTGCTCGATGTACCGGCTTTGCATTACCACCGCTGTGCCCTGTACGAGGTAAGTACACTAGAATACCCATTATGGAAGATAGAAGGAAGCATGCCATTGTTGGTCCGCGCACCTTCATATTCTCCCCGGTTCCAGTCTTGATCATAGTTTGTCCGCCAATCATTCCAGTGCAATCGGACAGCATTGTCACGCAAACGAATGGGAAGCTGTCGTAGTGCCACGCAAAAACGGACATATTGTCGCACTTTGAGCCGTCCGGGCCTTGTCCATTCTCCGTGCTGTTCGGATCATTGACCGAGATATTGACATTACCAATATCAAAATCAAAGACTGGGACCAAGTCTACTCCTGCAACTTCTGAGACTTTCGCAAGGACCTCTGGACAATACCAGGCGTCATAAGTAAACGGAGCGCGCCTTGAGAAAACAGTCAGCAGGTATAATCTCGTAAGGTTAACAAATTACTTATACAGGACCCATGCCTCTCACCATATTCTTGACAAAAAGTGGAAGATTACTGGCACGACTCGAGCACAGGTTCACTAAAGACCTCTGCTCGGATCTGTTTGATAGCTTCCTCAGTAAAGAGGGAAAAGGGCTCTGAGACTGCATTGGGAGAAATCCCATGTCCTTCAAAGCCGATCTCCTTCATGGTGTAAATCTTGCTGGGGGGTTGGAAGTTGGGGTCGAAGTCCTCCTTGATAGTGAAACGAGCTTCATCAATCAGGAATTGAGGAATCTTGTTGGTTGGATGGGTGATTTTCTTGGTTTCTGGTCCGACTACCCTTGGGTGGGGCCCGGAGTCGGGACGAGTGCTGCAGGTGCCATGTCTGATTTGAAAGTTGAGTTCTGCAAGGATGTTCTGGTTATGAAGCAATGGTTGTAGACATGAGGTATTCGTCTAGGATAGGATGGTCCTTATATATCTTTAATTGTGCTCTGAAGTGCAAAGGGTCATTGTATTGACCTCAATCGGATAGAAGTTCCATCAGATAGAGCAGCTGCCACCATGCGACCTATCAAGGCCCCCGGACGTAGTTCTCTATCATTCGTGCATTGGAGTATCATGGGACACGATAGACAACCCGATGGGAATAGTATCTTCATGGTGAATTAGGTTCGTTTCCGATCCCTATCATCGGATATACAGAGTGCTCTCATTTCGGTTACCCGTTCAGGAAATAGGCGATGCGGCGCAGCGCAAATCCCGCATCGATATCTCCAACATATGCGACATGTGCAACATCACCCCCGCTATCTTTACTGAAAAAAAAAACTTAATTTCGTGGGATAGATTTCCTTTTCCAGCGCCATGGCTGTCCCGGCCCATTCCCGTTTGTCTTGATATGACGATACAATTAAAATCCGTTGAAACCACCATCAGATGAATTGTTTATCGACCAGATACTCCTCGTATCATATTTGCCTTGTGTACTCTGATAATTCGTTGCGAGATTGCATCTGAAGCGAGCGTGGGTATAAGAATATAGTGTCCTCTCCAACATACCAAGCCTCCAAATCCCACATATAATGCTGCTTCTTTACAAGATGACACGAATTCCTCTCCCCACGCCCCCTCCTATTGATCCCTCATACCAGCCCAAAACCGCCATCACAACGGTGCCAGCCACTTATCCGATCAAGTACATCCTTAGCATTCTCGAGCGTGATGGCGGCGTGATACTCAAAGATCTAGTCTCACCAGACGAACTAGCTGCCATCGACGATGAACTGAATCCCTGGAGTAGCAAGCCTCGTCGACATCTAGAAAACAAGAAGGTCAACGGCGATGCTTTCCCATCTATCCCCGCGCAGACAGTCCTCGTACCAGGCCTCGTTGGGAAGTCTAAGACAGTCGCCCAGATCTGCGAGCATCCCATGCTAGAGGCCCTGCGGCAGCGCATTCTGCGAGAAGAATTTACGCTGATGCGGGAGGGTTTCGCGGAGCCCAACACAATCGATCCATTGTTGAGTCTGAGTGTGTCGATGAATATCGGGTACGGCGCACCTCGACAACTGTTGCATCGGGATGACGATGTCCATAATATTCGACATTCCCGAAACTCATTTCGGCCATGGAGCTTTCAGCAAGCCAGTCAGTTTGGGTGCTTGATTGCTGGATGTGAGGTTACTAGAGAAAATGGGGCTACGATGTTCGTGCCGGGGAGCCATAAATGGGATGATGACCGGTGGGCGAACTCTGATTAGGTTTGTTTTGCAGGTAGGCTCCCTTCTCTTACTAGCAAGCTCAACATCAAACTGACAAAATAGAAATGTCCCCCCGGCTCAGCTTTAATCTTTCTCGCCTCTGCATACCATGGCGGCGGACACAATTCGGTTCCTGGTTCCGTCCGCACGATGCACGGTTTGTTCTTTTCCCGGGGTCATCTCCGCACCGAGGAGAACCAGTTCCTTGGGATCCCGCGGAGTAAAGTGCGTGGAATGAGTCCGAAGATGCTGGATCTACTAGGGTATAAGAAGCCAACGACGGCGCTTGGTATTGTGGACAATATGAGTCCGGATGAGGATGTAGATGGGATTTGGGAGAGGGCTATGCAGTAGTCTTGTCATGTTCATGCTCAGGAGTTCCGTCTTTTCGTGTCTTTATTGAAATTAATTACCATGTATATTCCCCATACATATATGCTCTTTGACTACCGCAATTGGTATGATTTGTTAGGGTTAGCATAGCATCCACTTCTCTATTCGGAAACAACCCCCAGGTTAGTCCCGTCACACTAAGCCCCAAAGGGCAATCCTAAATATATCATGCGGAGATGCGATACCAAGATAAGATAAGCAGCTCGTCCTCTACTGCGCTTGAATCTTGATCGCCATCCTCGCAGCCAGAATATGAAGAAACAAGCCTGATATCTGTCTTGAAATGACCCGAAGAAAACTCCCATATGTACCAAAGACCAAAGGCGCGCCCGAGGAAATATCGGGAATGATGAATGAACATCCACTGACATTCCCGCTCAGGCTGTTATCAATGCTCACAGCGGCGAATCCACTGTGACAGGACGCAGCCGTCGTGTGGAAAGTGTGTCTCGAGAGGTATCCTGTGTAGTGGATTTGGAGTGAGGTATAGATTCTGTGATGGGTCCGGACGTAGGAGGGGGAGAGCGCGAATAGAGTATCCTGAGGTTTCGGATGGTCCGTTTACGTCCAGCGCGGCCTATATGGATGAGAGCGCATCGACGGGTGATTCTTCCAGAGGCTCATGTATAAATGAGACGTATCATGGCGCTGCTTATGGCCAATTGAGGCCTGATGGGTTGCATCCTGCATTGGCCTGGAGGAACTCGGAAGGCTGGGAACGATTCCTCGTGGGATATTGTACGTATTCTATCTTTTACATCACTGGGCTCTGACTTCTGTTGAACCTATTAGTCTCCAAAAACATTACCCCCGAAATGGTCGTAATCGACGACAACCACAACGGATGGCGCCACCTAATCCTTCCTCTAGCCTGGATGGACAAATTGGTTATGAAAACTGTACTGGCCGTGTCTCCCTTCCACATTTCCCGCAGATCTGGTGGTCAAGTTCAACCACGGCATCAGCATCTTGCCAGCCCAAGCACTCTCTGCTCAGAGGCTATCCGCGAACTTCAGAACCGGACGATTTGGACCAGTATGACCACCAAACGAAGCGGCTAGCCATCCTGTCAATAATTGTCCTGCTTGCTGCGGTCATGGTCACTGGCTGCTCGGACTTTCCGGTTCTTTTTCATCTTTTGCAATCCGCCCTCGATACGGTTGGTGGTGAGGATAGGCTGGGGCCGGATGAGTTGTCCGAGTTTGCGCTGCGGCAGATTCACAAGTAGGATCATGATCCTTTCATGGCGTTTATAATTTGGCTGATTATATTTAGAATGCGAGTTTACGCCGCGCCATTCATCAGCCAGCAAACCGGCGTATACACGATCCTCTCTCAAGCCCCGCATAGCTTCGACTGCCTCTACTACAGCTCTCGCTTCCATCCAGATAAACAGTGCACGATAGACCTAATCGCCAACTTAAGGCAATAATCCTACCACATATACCTACAACGTGTTCTTCTGGACAACCCCCCGGGTAATGAACTGTCATCAGCAGATGTGGTTACGAAATTCCGAGCCAGTCTTGAGCCTTTCCCCGAGGGATTTCCCGGTGACCACTCCTTGATCTGGACATCATTCATCACAGCGTCTGAGAGCTGTTCTCCAGAGGACCAGCAGTTCTTCAAGCAGTTCTTGTTGAAGCAGTATTATCGTAATTGGTTTGGGGATATCTTGAAGGGATTGGATCTATTGAAGAGGATCTGGGCGAGGGATGTGGATGTTAATTGGTCGGCGCTCCTTCCTGAGCCACGAGTTTTTATCATGTAATTCTGTGCTGTCTATTATTTATGCCATGCCAAGTAAGCTCTGGAAGCCTAAAGGAAGGTTCCTTGACGTCTCATATCGAAGCGGGAATGAATTCCTGTGTCTTCCGTGTTTACAGCTACCATCGTTCGTCTCCGATGAAACAAACACGCAGCGGACAGATCGCTTATGCAAGTTAAGGTTTTCCCCAGATTAATGTTTCAGATCGAATGACGGATCTGAATTGTTTGAGTGGCTTGTGGAGTTTCTCGTGTTGCATGCAAGGTTCGGCTCCGGCTGTTTGGTAGTGAATGGCAATTGGATAGTTGGTTGGAAATGTTTTGGCGTCTATACTAACTTGGTGTAATGGAAAAGCAAAAATTTAGGGACGGCCTTGTGCAGTGTGTAGATCTGTGATGGCTTTCAAGGGTTTGCTGTTCAAGATATATATCCACTCTGTTTGTACATGTACTGAGCTCCTACTATCTGGACCCAACAAGAACATATTTCATGTTGTGAAATACTAAAGAATAAGTTACAATGAAATATGATACTCGACTATATAACAAAAACAATCCTACAAATATTTATACTGTGTAGTCCGAAAAAAGCAAGGCACCAAGGCAAACATCCAAGCATCGCATCGGACTTTCCTTTCCATCTACAGAAGTTCAAGTGTCTATGAAATGCTCCATGCAGAGTGCTCCATATAGAGCACTCCCGTGTTTCTCTTTACTGCATGTCGTGCGTTGCACCGAGGCCTTACTCATGGAAACATATCCCGACGCATCTCCGAGTACTGTACTCCGTACGGAGTACAAATAGACTCGGAATAAGTGCACAGTCCAATTGGTCGAAGTGTGTCTTAGACCTGCTTGTACCATACAGAGTAAACAATAGATCTATTACTCCGTAATTGGACGAATTGCTTGTAATAATCAATGGAAATGCACGGTAATTGTATCTGTATTTGTGCAATACACCTGTGTCACATCACGGCGGCTGCGTGATATAACTAGGCGATTCGCCGGAATATGGTATATATATATATTTTTTTCTCCAATACTCTGTATAAATGGTTGGAACAATAAAGAAAATGAAGATCCTTCGCTTGCATGGCATCCCTAGCCGCCGGGACGTATGTGCATACATTCTTGTACTCCGTACATGGTCGGGTATCAGACCGAGCATGTATGTACCGGTCATGGTGGAATAATAATAGCACCCCTGGATCGGCCGGGTCAAAGAAAAAAGGTTTCTATGGTCAGCCCAATGACCGTTGAAGACAGCACCTAGCAAAAAAGTTAATAGTACCGAAGCCCGCCAAAAGAAGTTTGTAGAGCACGAGTTCAGGCCAAGTTGTCGGCGAATCGACCAGTCATTCGGAAGTTGATATAGATTGATTTGTGCTGTATGTGTGATTGCGACAGGTAGTTTGTTGCCAATTGATGCGTCTGTAATTCATTATTGCATGCGAATGGTCCTTAATTCTGTACGTAACGTGAGAATCACGTGGCATTAGACAGTATTATTCTCAGTGGAATATCAGACCGTTGCAGTGCTTTACTGGATAGAGAGGACTCTGGAAATGGGTGGTGGAATACACCGAGTGGCCCGTGGGTTCCATCTGGGCTTCCCCTGATTCTTTTCTTTCTGTAGAAAAAAGAACATCCTTATATCCTATATGCCAGGGTAATTGACACCAGTTCCGCTGCCCAGCCGGTGTGAAACGCCGGAATCATCTATTGTTCTTTTTTCTTGACTTCTATTATTCTTCATCTTCTTCTCCCAACCTCCCCGACTCCCCGTGGCTTCTTGATCACTTCTACATACTACTCCTTCCATGCTATTTTTCATTCTATTCCATTCTCTTTAAAAACGTCTCAATGCGCCCATAACCAGCCCTCTTATTACCGTGTGAGACTCGATAGTGCTGCTCCCGCACGCGGAGTCTGGGCTGACCCCGAAAAAGGGAGAGAGAGAGAAAGAGAAAGTCCACTTACCACCACCACAGGCCATCTTCTCTCCCGTTCATTTCCTCTTCTTCTCTTATTCCTAGCTGGGTTAGTCGATACTTTTGCTTCTTTTTTTCTATTTTCTTTTTTTTCCCTTCTCTCTTCCTTCCCTTTCCCCTTCTTCTCTCTTTTGCTTCCCTTTTCATCTTATCATCCACGACAAACAACCCCGTGAGAATCTCCAGCCACGGCGGTCAATCGCTGCTCGCCCAACCCCGGCCGTGGATCTGTCCTTTCCTTTCATTCTCCTCTGCCCTTCCTTCTCTTGGGGGTTTGTTCGTTGTGTCGGTGTTATTTTATTTTATTTTTTTGCTTTCTTCTTCGGCAGCCTGGCGCCTTTTTTTTTTTTTTAAAACCTCTTAATTAACCGCCCCTGTCCCGCGTCCAGAAACGACCCGTCTACGATTCGATAGTTAGATTACCTCCTTCCCTCCCCCCACGATGGCTTTCCTCTTCAAATCGAAGAAAAACCAGCAGCAACAGGGTACCTCCCTTCCTCCCGCGACGAGAAACGTTCATACTTCCGAAGGGGCTCCCTCCGCATCGCCCCCAGCCCTCAATGGCTCTATCAAGGATCGCGATGGCTTGTCGCAGACTCCTACGCCTAGCAGCAGTTACAACAACTCCCTGAGTTCCATCAACCCCAACAGTCCCGATCAACAACGATTGCGACAAAGAGCAGAGTCAGAATCACAGGTTAGTTTATGCTTATACTGGGTGGATATTCACAGTCGCTGACGGGATGTTCGCACTCAATCCAGATCCAACGACCACCACCACAAGCGATGAATGGAACTGCTACTACTCCTCCAGCCACAAGCCCCAATGCCTCCCTCTATCCTTGGACCCAACGGCGGATCAATTTTTCTTCGCCGCAAATGAACCCCTTCCCACGATACGGCGCGGCAATCAACTCATTGGCTTCAAAGGAGGGCGATATCTACATGATGGGTGGTCTGATTGATGGGGCAACAGTCAAGGGAGACCTCTGGATGGTGGAGAGTAGCGGCGGAAACCTCTCCTGCGTTCCAGTTGTTACCGTCTCCGAAGGACCGGGGCCCCGGGTGGGCCATGCGAGTCTGCTAGTTGGAAACGCATTCATCGTATTCGGAGGTGATACCAAGATTGACGAGAATGACGCGCTAGACGACACTTTATATCTTTTGAATACTTGTAGGTTTTTTTTTTTTTTTTTTTTTTTTTTTTTTTTTTTTTTTTTTTTTTT